GTGTTTGTGACATGTATGAGTGAACTTGGAGAGCAAGCCAGAAGGAAGATAAATACACTTGTGACTGGGGTGGGTGTGAATATTCAGCCTTTCCCAAATAATCTCTGGCTTTGGGGAAGCCAAACAACCTCCTAGGACAAAGCAAGGTAGTAATGAAGAAAAAGCACTTCTGAGGTCCCCAGGGGTTGGCTGGTTGTGCCTTGTCCTGGTGCCAATGCCAACATAGCTTGAAATCTGAGCAGAAGCCAGACTGTTGTAGGAGTGTCCCCCAGTCACAGGCCATGACCCGCATTGGGATCCAGGCTGCACAGAGTGGGGCAGAAATGGGCTTTTAGAAATAAAAGACCAGAAAACAGCTACTGAAGACATATCTATATGCACAATGAAGCAAATAGCTTCACTTGACTACAAACACCGCTTGAGATGATTAACCCTTTCCAAGCTGAGAACACCAGGCTTCTTGGCCCACCTCCTGCAACTCCTGGCTTCCTTCTGCTTCTTTGCTTACTTAAAGGACTGAAGCTCAATTGCCTAGTCTTCCCCTCCCAGAGGTCCTGGGAAACCTGGATGGCAGCATCACAGCCAGGGGAAAGTACTAGGAACAAAATTCTCTGCTTTTAATCCCCTCTACTCGGCAGGCCTCTGCACACGTCACTTCCAGTCCTACTGGGCTGTGTGTTTTAAGCATGTAGCTCTTCCATACTGCATGTCTAGTGCACGTAAGTGAGCAATGGAATTAAATAACAACCAGCACGTGGGAAAGAAACAAGTATGCAAAGCTGTCCCTTCTCTCTCCAGTCAGACTGGGACACTTAACCATCACTGGGTTTAAGTAACATCAATATCACTTTATACAGGCAAACAACGGTTCTAGGGATGAATTGCCAACAGCTAGTCTCCCTCAGAGCACTAGCCCTGCAGCAGCCAGTTCTGACCAGAAGCCACTTCTCAAGACACATGTCAACATGCTCTGTGGAGAAAGGGTTCAGAGGGGTGGGAAGCAGGGTGCCGCGGAGCTATGCTCTTGCTGGAGGTCAGGGAACCCATAGGAAGCAACCCATCCTATCTCCAATTTCAGCAGCTGGAAGGATTCAACAGACAACCAGGAATGGTGCATAAGCCCCAAGCTCCAGCAAGAGCTCACTGAGGCCAGCTACTCACAGCTGGCTGAGTGGACCAGAAGAGCACTCGGGGGTGGTACAGGGGGAGTATGGAAAATAAAGCACTTGATCCATTGGGTGGCAGAGACCACAGAGGTCAGGAAGGGACCTGCACCTCACTAAGAAGTAAGTGGCCAGGGCAGGCTGGGTGCCAGGGTTGCTGCTATGGCAGACATTCCCACCCTCACTGCCTCCCCCCTCCCCAGTCCTTCCATCCACTGAGGCTTGGGAGGAGCCACTTGGCCAAAATCTGGGGAGGGTCCACGCTCATTAAATCTCCGTGGGTGTTGTCGTCCTGAGAGCCAGGGAAGGGCAGAGCCTGGCAGGACCTTGGAGTGATGTGTGGTTCCTCGGGAGGGATGCCTCCCTGGTCTGGAAAGGAGGGTCCAGGGGCAGAATGGTGAGGCAGTAATTGCAAGAGATGCCCTGCTCAAGACACCAGATGAAGGGAAGCTGTGTGGATTTGTTGGCACTAATCCTGGCCTGGTAATTAGGTATTTGGCAAACCCAACCTGTGCACTGGCTGTTGCACCCTGTCTTCTGGCCAAGCCAATCCTCCAAGAGCTCAGAATCTCCAAGGTGGGGAAAAAGGGTTCTTGATGCCTCCCAATGATGGCAGCATCCCCTGGAGGGCATGGGGAGCCCTGCTGGTGGTCTGGAGACAGTGGTGCACTGGGGAGTGTTGGGAAGGGAAGGTTCTGTATTGCACTTTGACTGCCCCCTCTGGACAAGTCGGCCCCAGTGGAAGAGCCATATCCTGCCCCATCTCCAGAAATGAAGAGCTTTCACATCCAGACCACCCAGATGAAATGTCATGGCAAATTTGATAAAAACCAAGAAGGACTGAAACTGACATTGGGGGAGGGAAGGGGCAAGTTGAGGGAAGATGAATCCAAAAAGCACGGAGCATGCTTGGGGAGAGCAGGGAAGGACACCGTCACTTCCAGAGACAACAGCGTAACAAAGGGACAGGAACCGTCTGGGCCAGCTCCAGGCTCTTCCGATGCCAGAGATGTCTTGAGTCCACCATTTCAAGTCCTCCATGGCTTTTCAAGAAACAGGATTTGCTCACAAGATGAATGAGGAAGGAGGAAGGAGGTCCTGTGGCTTTCAAGAGATCAACCTAAGTCCAACGCCTCACTCACTGTCAAGTCCCACCTGGGTCTTTCAGAACTGGGAAGCTTTCTGGCAGGGCCTCTCTCTTGCCCTTGAAGATGCTGGTCCCTGGGAAGGAGGCAGTGACGAGGACCCCTCCAGAGCTGGGGAGGAAAGCACAGGGTTACAGGGCCAGCAGCGTGGGGGAGTTCAAGGAGTCTGATGACTGGTCCCCACTGCTACTGCTTCTGCGGTGGGCCTTGGAGCAGGACTCAGAGGGTGATGCAGGTGACTCCTGCTCCAGGACACTGGGGTAGGTGAAGACAAGGTTTGAGGAGCCTGGGGTGATGGCAGGTGTGGAGGTCACCACGATGGGAGTGTGCAGGGGTTCCTCCCCGTAGAAGCCCCCAGCAATGCTGATGGGCTTGATGACGGAGCGCTGGGCCTTCTCCAGCCCCACCACTGAGGATGAGGGGCTGTCCTCTTCCAGGGGCTCCTGTTTCACCACCACAGCACCAATTGCACTGCTCCCACTGCGCATGGGCTGCAGCCCAGAGGCCGAGGGCGATCGGCGCTCCTCAGGGCTGATCTTGCACACTGGACCATGGGCCACCAACATGAATTCCAGCTTCTCCTTCTCCTTCTGCAGCTCAGCGATCTCCTTCTGCAGGCCTGACTTCTCCTCCTCCAGCTCCTCTGTCTCCTGGAGGGGAAAGAAAAGGATATAAGGAATGGTAACCTGTAAGCACCTGCTGGGAGTTGGTCCACTCCAGGTGAAAAAGGGAAAGCCAGCAATGTCCTCAGATGACCACTGAAGAGCGACAGCTCAACATATCTGGCCACAGAACTCAGTGGTTGTGAGTCACATGGTGCCTCACAATTCCTTTTATTTCCAAAGGAGGAAAATTGGCTTGGAGGAGGGATAAAATAACACTGCAGCTGCCATAATCCAGCGCTTAACTTTATGCCAGGCACTGCATTAAGCATTGCATAGATTATTTCATTTGATCCTCCAGAAGTTTTTGAAAGCAGATTTTATCATCAACCCATTTTGCAGATAAGGAAACCAAGGTTCAGAAAGGTTGAGTAATTTGTTCAAAGTCAGAGCTAGCAGGTAGTGTAGCCCAGATTTGAATTCCAATGTATCTGACTTCAAAGTCCACTACTACTTACTGCCTTGGTCCCCCAGGGGTAAAAGAGGATTGCATGAAAAAGGGAGCACAAGATGAATCTCACCTATCTCCCTCCTCAGCCCCATGCCAGGCTCGCTGTGGACACAGTGACACAGAGCCTGAAGGTACATGAGAGCAGAGACTTTGTCATACATAGTCCCAGTCCTAGCACAGTGCCTGGTTTGTAGTAAGTGCTCAGCCAATCCCTTTTGGATCCCTTCTTTTTTGCTCTAATTTCTGAAGCCTGTGTCCTAGGACTCAGAACCTCAGTAAACATGCAGTTCAGCCACACACTTGACAACAGAGGCACCTGACAGCTCCTGCAAGATCCTGTGGGGATGCAAGAGCACCGTGAAATGATCTCAGCCCCCTTCCTTCACAAGTACACGTGGAGAGGGCTGGTGGAGAGTGGGGGTGCGTCATCAGCCTCCTCCTCGATTTTTCCCTAACATGGATTCCTGGTCATAAAGGAGGAGATACCGGCAAGAGCTTCATTAAGCAGAGTGCAGCATATTCCGGAGTGAAAAAAAAGTTTCCATCTGTCTCAAGGGTCTGACAAACGTCATGAGCTTATGAGAGGCTTCCTGTGGAGGATGTGGCTCAGGGGCCTGGGTGGCTGGGTCAGGGGCGGGGGAGGCGGGGGA